AGTTAGAAACACACAGATTGCACACTTCATTTGCAGAATTCATACCTTTGTTTATGTCACACTTTTGATTTATTTCTGAGGCATTGATTTTTGCTTAACAGTGGCACAATGAAATATTCCTTCTTGAGTCCTTGCAGTATATCTCTAGCAAAGCTGGGGCATCACCAAGTCGTTTTTACCCCCTGCCATTGGTTTTCCTGTTATTTATTCCCTGCCCAGCAGAGCCCCATCACAATCATCACTGTTGGTGTTTAAAGCAGACAGGCTATTTCTTTCTGTTCTTCATGCTGACTTCCCCTTAGCTTTGTGTGGTGACAAAGCTTTGTGTGTACTCAGAGTGGGGTCTTTCTCACCCTGTAAGGTCTGAGCTGCTTTCCTCAGGGACTTTTGTTCCATGTTTCACTGTGTCTCGAGTGTGCCATTCTTAATTCACGCCGCTGACATTCTGTCATCACCAATTAACTTTAACCAAAGGCCTCCTGGATGTGTGGCTGCACAGGAGATTATTTAATATTCTCTTTGTTTTAGACATCAGGTGGCTTTTTCAAATGAATTTTTAAGTATCTGAGCAATGATGAAGCAAATGGAGACATCAATTAGGGATCAGAAAGGCAAGTCCACAGGAAATGCTTAAAGGAGAGCATACAGGGTTGAGTGAACACCCCAACATTTTAAAAGAGATTTTTTTCTTCTAGTCAACAAATGACAAAAGTAATAGGTAAATTCATTATTCCTGCAAGAACCCCGTCAGCCTTCTAGCCAGACATCTGCCTTCATCATCTTATTTTCCTTTTCTGGCAGTTGCAGTTTTCAAGGCCAAGTCTGAAATTTCCTCCTGAGCCTTTTCTACTCACCTGGACCCTGGCGGGGGATGACTTTCTGCTTCAGACTTCATTCAGAATTCTGTTTTGGAAAGGTGAGCCCAGGACTGATGGGAGATGTCATTCTGTAAATATGTTTCTCATACTGGTTAATGAATAAAGCACGTTGGCCAATAGGAAAGCAAGATAGGCAGGACCAGGAAACAAGGAGGAAAGAGGAAGTAGTAGGGAGGAGTCAGCATGGAGAGACGGGAGAACAGATGTCCGGGCCCACTCTCCAGTAAGTTGAGACCACATGGAAATACTTAGGTTAATAGAAATGGGTTAATAATTAAGATAGAGCTAGCCGATAAGAGACTAGTACCTGGCCAACAGCATTATATCAAATACAGTGTGCCTCTGTGTTATTTGGGGCTGGCGCGGCGGTGGCTCCAGGCTGCTGGAAAAAACTACTCTTACATTATGGCGCCACAATGTGGCTAATAAGAACTTCCATTTAAAACGTAACAGAAGCTTAAAGAAGGGTTTTAAAAACCAAAAAAAAAAAAAAAAAAAAAAAAAAAAAAGACAAAAGCAAGGCTTCTTGGTAGCAGCATTTTTCTCGGTTGGACTCTGTTTTGCTAGATTCAAGCAGAGATTTGCGCAGCTCCTTTAAGGGAGGTTTCCTGACTCAGCATAAGCGGCAAAAAACCGCATGGCTTTTAAGAAACTCTGCTAACAATTCATTGGTGTGTACAAGAGCTGGCAATGGCAGTGACCACATCTCCAAGCCGGCAGCATGCTGCTGAATGGCAGCGCAGACCAAGGTAGTGAGCACAGCTCTCACTGCTGGCGGTAAAAGTACCCGCTGCCATCTTTGGTAAACCGCGGCTGACACAGCTATGACTTTCATTTTAGCAATGTTGTTGTTTACCTGATAAAGACTCGTGCCCAGAAAAAGATAAAGATTTACAGTAAAGACAGATTCACATTAAGAAAAACCGCTAAAGCTTTACAGTGTGTTTTAAAATATATGTAGGCTAGGGAGAGAAAAAGAATAAAATGGTTTTAAAAAGATAGAGAGGAGCTGGGTGCAGTGGTATGCCTTTAATCCCAGCACTCAGGAGACAGAGGCAAGCAGATCTCTGTGATTTTAAAGTAAACCTGGTATGTAGAGTGAATTCCAGGACAGATAAGAGTTACACAGTGAAACCCTGTCTCAAAAAATGAAAAAATAGAAGTAAAAGAAACAGTAATAAAAAGCCACATAAAGATATAGAGAATCTGGATACTGTACGTTATTATATTGTCTCTGACTGCTGAGGAAATAACAACTGTTAAAACAAACGCTGCTGGATCAATCCAATTTATATATTTTAAAAATGCTTTGACTTCAAGATTTAAGTTCAAGGACAAGTTACTGGGGAAAAGGATTTCTAATTTTGTTTCCACAGAAAATGAAAAGCTGTGGATTCCTTCTAGACTAATGTGGTTTGATCAAGCCAGACCCCCTGAAACAGAGTCACAGGTGATCCAATATCCAAAACAGTTGGGACATAGCAGCCTTGCAGACTACAGCCAGGATTTCTGTGTCTTCTTAGGATCCCCAATGACAGCGCCCCCTACCAGCAGGAAGCAGTTTGGAAAGAACGACACCCAAATTCCCAAATATTGTTTATAAATGTTTGTTTAAATGGGGTTGTTATAAATGGTTAATGACAACAACCAATCTCTTTTTAAAGGTAAAAAGGGGATTATGGTACAGCTATGAATACTTTGTTTTGGAATGGATTTTCATTTATTGATACAATTTAAGGTCAGTTTTGTGATATGTATATTTCTCCTCTTGTTTAGATATTGTGTTTGCATAGCTCATTTAGAAATGTAATGTATAATTTAGTACAGATTATAGATAGTTACCTATAATAGTCAAAACTTATAGCTAGGTGAGTTAGGTTTTCTAGATATGCAGAGATGTATTAGAGATGAATAGGCATTCTTCAAACCTTTCAAAGACCTACAGAATATGGCATTTAAAATGGTTTAGGGTTTTTTCTTGACAATGAGGCACAACTGCTCCTGGCAACACCACCTGCGTCAGAAAGGAAGATGAAGATGGACATCAAAGAAACTCGTTGTGGAGTTTGCTTCCAATTATGGCAAGACTAGCCATTTGGACAAGATAGTGCTCTTGTCTGGACTGTTTGACTTTATGCTGTATAAACTGGACATGCAGGACCCACAGGAAAGTGACTGGTGATTCAAGCTGGACATTGCTACAGAGTTCCTGCTTCATGGAAGAGTCTGCCAGACAGTCTGCAGGACACAGAGAAAAGTGACTGACAAACTGCCAATTCAGATGGACAGTTTAAAGTTTCCTGCTTTACTGAGGAGTCTGCCAGACACACTATGGCCTATGGGCTGAAGATGGACGATTATAGAACTTCGGGTGACTGACCAGGCAGTGAGTTGTCTCTGTCATATCTAGAGTTTATATATTATCCTTCTGTGGTCTTTGATGGAGTTGAAAACAGATAGTTATGGTTATAGTTTTCCTTAGTTAGGATTAAAGATAAGGTACATATAAGACTTTAGACTTACAAAGATAGGATAGATGAAAAATTATGTCTTTAAATCTTACTAAATGTTAATGGACTAAATATTGTTAACTGTGATTCTTACTTAATAACTGTTGTATGAGATATTTTGCTATGTTAAGGTTAAAACCCTTCTTTTTATTTAGACAGAAAAGAGATGATGGGAGATGTCATTCTGTAAATATGTTTCTCATACTGGTTAATGAATAAAGCACTGTTGGCCAATAGAACAGCAAGATAGGTGGGACTAGGAGACAAGGAGGACTCGAGGTAGTAGTAGGGAGGGGTCAATGTGGAGAGACTGGGGAGAACAGAGGTCCGGGCCCACTCTCCGGTAAGATGAGACCACGTGGAAATACTTAGATTAATAGAAATGGGTTAATAATGAAGACAGAGCTAGCCGATAAGAAATTAGTACCAGGCCAACAGAGTTATATCACATACAGTGTGTCTGTGTGTTATTTGGGGCTGGCGCGGCGGTGGGACCAGGCTGCCAGAAAAACTACTCTTACACAGGACACCGCGAATTAATCTGTGTACATCCTCCCCAAGCATATCTGGGCATTTCGTTTCCGACTTTTAGAGTTAGCACTGTTAAGAATATTTAGGGTGATAGGCAAAATAGCCTATTAAAATCAGAAGGAATAATTAATTTATTGATTGACAGGGTTTCTCTGTGTAGCCCTGGCCATCCTGGAATGTAGATCAGGCTGGCCTCGAACTCAGATCAGCCTATCAGGCCTGTAACCCCAGCACTCTCGAGGCAGAGGCAGGAGGATCTCGGAGTTCGAAGTCTATAGATAGAATTTTATTTTAAAACATTTGGATATGAGATGAAACAAGACTGAAGGACTGGTAGTTGCGATCCACAAACGTAGTTTTTTGTTTCCTTTGTGCCCAGATATGAGCCTCCCCGATCACAGGGTGAAGGAACACCATCGAAAGGAGACAGCGGTCGGCTTTGTGGTCTCAGTAGCATTTATTTGACCCTGCCCACACCGACAGTAGTTTTGGACCCATCTATCCATCCTTTTTGACTAGGCTAGGGCAATGCTGCTGTCGGTAGGGACTGGTTTCCAGCCAGGTCCTCCCGGACAACCTCCTTTCTTGAAGAAGAAACCCTGGGTTCTGCCGTGCATTCTGGAACGCCAGGTACGCTTTCCCGTTCTGTGACGTCAGGGGCCTCTCGGAATTCGGCTGGCACACACCAGGGCCGTCGTGCGGTGCGGAGCGGAGCGGTGCATGCGGCGCGGTGCCAGCAGTCGCCCGCAGGCTCCTCGGGGGACAAAGCTCCCGCGGGCCCCGCCCACCGCAGTCCCCGCATCCCCATTGGCTGCTTCTCCGCCCGCCATTCCTTCCCCGGCCGCCGGCAAGGGTGCGGGGCGGTGCCCTTGCTGGCGCTGGTTGGTCTAGTCGAGATGACGGTAAGGGCTGCCATTGGTCGTCAGGCGCCCAGAATGGGCGGGGCAAGGCCGGGGGCGGGGCCGGGCGGGCGGCGGGCAGTGCGCCGGCGCGTAGCCGGGGACGCCGGGGCCGGGATCTTGCTAGGGAACCGGCGTTGTCGCCCCGCACGCCCCGCCCCGCCCCTCCCGGGGCTCCGTCCCGTTAACTGTCGGCGGGGCCGGTGCGGCAGCGCAGCGCAGGGCGACATGCCGGTGCGCTTCAAGGTGAGCTCGGGGCGGCGGCTGGGGGAGAGGTGAGCGCGGTGCGCGCTTCGGCCTCCCCGAGGCTCCCGGCTCTGAGCTGGTGCCCCGGCCCGAGGATGCCCCGGCGCGGAGGGCCGGCTGGGGGAGTTCGATGGGGTCCCGGGGGCGTCAGGGGCGGAGGCGGAAGGTGGGGGGCACTTGACAGTGGGATGTGGGACACCTGTGGTCTCTCTGACGTTTGCAGTCAGCGACCCGAGAGAGAGAGACAGAGACAGAGACAGAGAGAGAATGCATGCATGTGTAACAGGACAGCGTGGCTGGGTATGCATCTTGCCTCGCTGTGCGTTTGTTTTAGGGGTTGCTCACATTTCCAGGTAGCTAGCTGTGTCTAGCACCCTTCCATGCATGCAACAGGTGGCCATAGTGTTGCAGAAATCACCACTGTTAATTCTTCAGGGCTTGTAGACCAGGGGTGGGGGGGGGGCGTGGGGGTAATTGCCTTTCTGCAGTTGCCTTTTATTAAAACGAACTAGGCGGAATCCAAAATATTGCGCACGTGGTGGGAAGTTAGGATGAATCTCTGATGGCGAGGACTTAGGTTTGTTACTACACTGTATCAGATGAGCTCACACTTTGGACGTAGAGAACCGGCTGAAGGGCAGGCAGCCTCTCTGAGAGTCAGACTCCTGCTTGGGTCTGCCTCAGGTGGTTGTGAGGATTAAAGGGCTACTTAGCCATGGCTGGGTAAATATTAGCCATCATTAAGGAGCTTATCTGGGTTTAATTATCATTCTCTGGCTGTTCAGCACTCTGGAGGTTGAGATTTATTTATTTTTTCCCTTCTTTCTGATGTTGGCTTTTAAAACACTGTTTATCACATGGCGCTGAAACTGTCCTTTGCATTACAGGGGCTGAGTGAATACCAGAGAAACTTTCTGTGGAAAAAGTCGTATTTGTCGGAGTCCTACAACCCGTCAGTGGGGCGCAAGTACTCATGGGCCGGACTTAGATCGGATCAGTTAGGTAAGTAGAACAAACCAGTAGCTATTATAGCCTGAATAAACCTTGGTTTATGTTTACAAGACAATTAAGATCCATTTGTCTTGGCTGACTCATTCATATAGTTGCCAAATATTTTTTGATGCTATACTGTGATCCCAAACTCCCTTATGTACAGAAAAAAAACCCTCAGTAAATAAGGCATTTCCGGTTGTATATAAAGTAGTATGATTGCAAATGGGTCGAAGAGTAGAGTTGAAGGGAATATGAAGGGAATACACTGAGATTTTTTTTTTTTTTTTTTTTTTTTTTTTTGGAGACAGGGTTTCTCTGTGGCTTTGGAGCCTGTCCTGGAACTGGCTGGCTGTGTAGACCAGGCTGGCCTCAAACTCACTGAGATCCACCTGCCTCTGCCTCCCAAGTGCTGGGATCGAAAGCATGCACCACCAACACCCGGCTGTGATTTGTCTTTCCTGAAAGGCTCCTCTGGGGATGTTTGAGCTGGAACCTGAAAGCGGAGAGGAGCCAGCATGGCAAAGGAGACTCCCAAAGTCTTGAGGAGCAGCTTGCCCAGGTTCAGTTAGTGTCAGGGGCATGACTTGAGCTTGTCTGTTTTGGCCGTGAGTTCAGAGCTATGGCCTTTTTTATTAGTATGCTTCTTCTCCAGACCTCAGAGAATTCGAGCCCTGGGTCAGGGTTCCTGAGAGTACAGAGAAAGGACGGACTGACTAAAGTAGCCGTTTCTCTCTCACTGGAATATAAGCTCTCTGAGGACAGCCCTTTTATCTCCTTGTTTGCCAGTAGGAATCCAGGGCTTTGGGGCACTTGATTCCCTGTTAAAATAACTTTTATGTTTTTATGCTTATATGCATGCCGGTACACATGTGTGTATATACATGCAGAGGCCAGGGAGCCATCCTGGGTGGCATTCCTCAGGAAGACCACCCACTTTATTTTGAGGCAAGGTCTCTCATTGGCCTGGAGCTCTCCAGTTAGATTAGGCTTACTGGCCAGAGAGCCCCAAGGGTCCACACCTGCCTCTACCTCTCCAGTGCTTGGTTTGTAAGAGGATGCTATCACACTCGCCATTTTTTTTTTTTTTTTTTTTTTTTTTTTGGCATGGAGTCTGGGGGTCAAACTCAGGTTCTCAGGCTTACAAGGCAATGCCAGTCCTAAAACTCACTTTCAAATGGATAAAATCAATCTGAATTTGAATATTCAATAACTATAACCTTGAGCAAATCAAACCTGCCAGTGGGCCTTAGGAAGCAAGGCCGCACAGGGTTGCTGGGTAGGGCTGAAGGCGGCATTGCTTGCTAAGGGCTTTGCGTACGTAGATCAGTACTTAGAGTCCTATAGATGGCCGGTGGGAGTGACTGATGTCTAAGTCCTCAAATGTTAGGCATTTGAAGCCAGGGAAAGGCATGGCTTACGGTGAGGGCACCAAGCTGGGAAGGCAGTAAAATAAGGGATGCCTTTAAATTAGGTTTGTAGTTCACTCTCAAGAGTCCTGTGCAGCATGAAGATTCTTAGCCCAGGGCCTGACTTCAGACGCCCGATTCTCAGGCAGCATGCTGGAAAACCTCTCTGCTCCTGTGTTCTGTAGTTTGGAGCATGTGTTAGATCAAGAATACAAAATGAACTGGTCTTGAAGGGTAGCCATCCCATCCAAGGCCAGAGGGGTTTGACTGCACACCGGAGGACCGGTTAGCTTGATTAATTGTCCCTTAGCATTGCTGAAGTCAGGTGCATCCAAGGGGCCAGTGATGAGAGCTGACCATGCTAGTGAAACCACTTCGGAGCAGGGGACGTTTAGGAGGAAGTAATGGCTTGGGAAGAGAGGCTCGTAGAACTTTGGGTTAGCGCAAGGGTTTCAGGCGCCTCAGAAATGGAAGCAGTAAGAAATGGGAGGAGACTAACAAGGGACATCGGGCTCGCCTAGGGCTGGCTGTCTGTCCTCAATACAGCGCAGCCCTCACTGCCGGGGCGTTTGCTGGAAGTGGGAGGGCAGGACAGCTGAGTAGAGACTGCCTCTTTGCCCAAAACCCCACCCGAAGCCCGACAGTGACCGTGATCTTCCAGGCTTTGTTGGGTTTTCATGCTCCCCATAGTAATTGGAGAGGCTGGAGGGATGGTTCTGAGGTTAAGAGCCCTGTCCCCTTGCAGAGGCCCCACATGGCACCCACACGAAGCTCACAACCACCTGGAACTCTAGTTCCAGAGGATCTGGCCCCTGAGGACACCAATCATGCATGCACTGTACATACACACAGGCAGGCGCACATAAAATAAGAATTAAAAAAAAAAAAAAAAAGAATTTAGGCGGCAGCAGAGTGTAGTTCCATGGCAGAGCACGTGCCTAACGTATGTGAGTCACTGAGCCTGAGCCTCCAAAATTAAGAAAATCCCATTAACCTTCCTCCTCTTTAATATTGATCTTTAATTTTTTTCTAAGCTTTTACAGATAGGCTGTATATTTCGGTGGAGTGTGTATATTTGCTTTAGAGCTGCCACCTCAGCTCAATTCAGGTTATAGGAGGCGTAATTTGCAAAGCCTCCCTCATTGGTGAATAGAGCCACTCTCTTGGAGAAAGTCTAACTGCATGCAAACGTGCCCCTTTCCCCTGCGGCTCTCCACACCTGAGCTGTGTGGGCATAATTGAGGAAGTGGGAATCTACTGCCTCTCCATCGTTATCTCCAGCCTTTGTGTGCCTGAGAGACAGCGTCCCTTAGGAGGGCCCGCGCTCCCTTGGCCCCTGTCTCCCTCGCCCTGAGTTCTTGTGCTGTGTCAGTGATCCACGGGTATCGGTAGCATCGGGCTGCTTGAGATGCGTTCCTGTCTCTGCATCATGGAAGCAGGACCTCCGGAGGCTGCAGAGAATAGAAACACGGTGGCAGATAGGGCAGTGCCAAGCACTCAGGATCTAGAAACCGCTCTCCTGCTCATCCCTCCCCTGTGAGATGTCTCTGCGAGCCTGTCCACTGACGCCTTCCCAGTTCAGGGAAGCCCATGAGCCTGGGACCCTCCCCCCTTCAGTGGCAGAGCAGCTCAGAGAGAGGTTTGGGGGTGAGTGGTGGGTTTACCTCCTGTCAGCTTCTCTGGGGCCTCCCCTTCTGCTCTCCTTAGGTGGAGCAGCACACCTTCTGTTTAAAAAGTGGCCGGAACTAGGGCTTTAGCTCGGCGCTGTTGCAGACCCCACCCGCCCCAGTAAAAGGCTAAGGTCTGGTTTGGCTTCTGCTCCTGCTGGGCAGTGATGTAGGGAAATCGTATCTTAGCTCTCTCTTGTTGAAGGGTCACTCTTGAATCCTCAGGAAATGAAGGTGAAGGAGAGCCAGGATCTAGCACAGTGACATCTCATCCTGTCCATCTTGTCTGCTGTGCATAGGAGCAGCTTTGTGAAAAGCTCCGAATCTCACAGCCCAGGGCATATTGTTCTAAGTAGCACAGGAAAGTAACCGGAGACGGGACAGCGGGTTCCCTGGCGTGCCAGCCGTCTCTCCTTGTGATGCCCACGACTTGTGTGAGGAGAGCTTGGACACTGTGACCTCAGTGTTCACTTTTAATACTACTTTAAAGCAGAATCAATGTTTGATGTTGAAAACTGTCCCTAATTTTGAAGTTCTGCAATCTGGACGAATGTGTTTGTGTGTGTGTGTGTGTGTGTGTGTGTGTGTGTGTATGTGTGTGTGTGTGTGTGTGTTATTTTTTAACATAGAGAGCGAGCGAGCACATGGGCACCACAGGGCATGTGTGGAAGTCACGGGACAGCTTTTTGCCGTGTGGGTCCTGGGGATTGAACTCAGGTTGCCAGGCTTGGTGGCAGGCACCATCTTTCTCTCTCTCAACTGAATTTTAATTAAACTTTTATTAAAAGTTCTTCCTGACTGTGAACTTTGGTAGCAGCTACTTTTATGTGCTATGTTTTGTAGGGATCACAAAAGAGCCAAGTTTTATTTCAAAAAGAAGGGTCCCCTACCATGACCCTCAGATTTCCAAATCCCTGGAGTGGAACGGAGCCATCACAGAGAATGATATGGTTGTCCCACCAGAACCCCAGACCCTCCAAACACCAAAACCACAAGAGACAGAGCAAAAAGAAGATGCGAACCAGGAAAGGACTCTCTCACTAGAGGCTTCCAGGGTTCCCAAGAGAACTCGATCTCATTCTGCAGACTCCAGAGTCGAAGGGGCTTCAGATGCTGCGGAAAAGCATCAGGATGTAACAAGAAACCATGCGCCGGACCATGAAGAAGTGGGGTTGGAAGCTTCCAGCAAACCTCTTGCAGAGAGTGTAGACCCCAGGGTAGGTCTCATCATTTCAATACTACTACACCCTGTATTACGTTTTTTTCTTGTTACTGCTTTCTTGTCTGGTATCTCTGGTCTAGATGCCAGCAGGCTGCTGGAAGTTACTAACAATGGCTCTATTCTTAATACTCTGTATTTGGTACTGGTTGTACTAAGACGAGCCTGCCCTGGACGAACAGTCCTCCTCTGGATTTTATTCTCCAGAGACTTAGCACCTGAGGCCTAGGGGATGAGGTCAAGGGGAGGCAGGAGGGAGGCGGCTGTCTCTGGCTGGGATGCTCAGCTGACTTCTCTTATCCACATCGCATTTGTTAGTGTGTACCAGCAGGGGAACAGACAGATTCTCGGTTGACAGGAGGAAAAAGGAAGGAGCCTTCTGGCTGGCTCTCAAAGCTCTTGCAGCTCTGTCCTCTTAAGTCCCAGCTGGCCTGCGGCCTGCCCGACAGGCACAAAGCAGAGGCTGCAGCGGTGTGACCGGGAGACTCCCTCTCCCGCATTGCATTCTTCAGGCTGTTGCTCTTCCCTCGCTCCCTTCAGCCACTGACTGGACCCCGGAGCCTCTTAGGAGTGCTGGCGGAGACTCTGGGACTTGTTGAGAAAGCCAGGGGACGTAGCGGGAACCATGGGAGGTGATGTGTGAGCTTGGTGGGCAGAGGGCAGGGTGGCCAGAGAAGCGTGTGGATAGGGCAAGGTGCCTGGAGCTTTTCTTTTTTGATGATAGATTTAATTGTGAATGACTGGGAGGAAGGAACTATGCAATACTGTTTATTAGGTGCATACTAGTTCCTTGACACTATTATTAAGAAAGGAATTTTAAATATTTTGGCAGTTTAAAAGTGATAGTTCCTTGACACTATTATTAAGAAAGGAATTTTAAATATTTCGGCAGTTTAGAAGTGCTTATTTAGAAGTTAAAAGTTTGCTATACTGTATGCATATAGCTGGCAATGCTGTAAGGCACAGTTAAACTTAAGGGGATATGTTTCATGTTACATGCTTTGTAGCACACTTACAAGTTTGTGGAACAAATTTTAATAACTGACTGGGTTTTCCCCTCCCCACAGCAGTTGGATAGGCATCTTCGTAAGAAAGCTGGATTGACCGTTGTCCCCTCACACAATGCCTTGAGAAATTCTGAATACCAGAGGCAGTTTGTTTGGAAGACCTGTAAGGAGACTGCCCCCGTGTTTGCAGCCAATCAGGTAGTTTGGTGGCTGTGGTATGTTTCTGACAGTTCTAACCTGATTTAGTAACACAGACTCATGTGGGACTGAGCTGAGGGAAAGTTGGAACTGACCCAGGCCTGTTCTAGGTTCTGGGATACAGGAGGAGAGTTTTGCTGGACACACTCTCCCTTGTGACGTGTAATAATATCACATAATATTTATATAATGAACTGTTCTGGGCTACAGATGAGCCCAATGGAAACATTGGGGAATGGCAAGTGTTCACATGGCAAAAGGTCTTTTTAGTTTATTTTTTAAATCATTAAATTGGCTATATTCTAAACTGTTGTTTATTTGACCAATGGTTCTGATTGGTATGTATTTTTAAGAAAGGTAACTGCTTCGGATTGTTAATAACTGGCAAAGTAACGCTCAGTATGATCATTCCCTTGAATCAGCTGAACGTGACAGCGGTCTAGTAGAGCTGTATTTGTCTGTCATTATATTTAGATTAGATTAGGTTTCTTTATATTCTTGTGCAATGTTTGCATCTTACTAGCTTGCTAACAAACATTCTGCTAACTGCTGCTGTCTTCTGGAGAGGTCTTAGCCTCTGAATTCCTGAACTCCAGAAAATCCATGACAGCTTCGTCTTTTGTTCTGATCTTTGCGTTTTTCTGTCTAAGTCTGTGTGCCTTCACATGTCTGGATTCATTTGCCTGTATTTCAGTGCTCGTTGTATAGCCTGTACTTCCTACACACTAAGACAGAGCAGGGCAGTAACGTCTGCAATCTCACACTGACATCTGCATTCCACTGATCATGTAAACCGTGGCATCTCCCTTTAGTTGTATGTTTTGGGATCATGTGAGGTGTAACAAAGGGGGAAGTGTTCTCTTTTTAGGACATAATACATAGGATCAGTGTTTCCTCTGCTTGCTTGCTTGCATGCAAGTGTTAGTAGGTAGTAAGTGTTCCCCTCCCCCCCCCAAAAAAATCTGTGACTTGAAAATTGTGTTTCCTTCTTGTAGAGCTATGAGCTAGAGCTGACTGAAATCAAAGATTTCTTCACAGATTTTACATGCCAGCGAAAGCATTTTGCAGAAATGTGTTTTTATAGGGTCAGAAGCACAAGGCAGAATAAACTGCCAGTGGTGTGTTCAGTGGTGAAGCCATTGCTTTCATTAGCGAGGGTCTCAAAGCTCTTCTGTGGGAAGAAAATGCTCGTTGTAAGTTCAGAGTGCATTGGCTTTGGGACCTGGAGGAGCTCACTGATAAGCTTTCAGTCCCTCTGAAGGAGCCATCTGCTTTTAGTCAGGTACCTCTCTTAATAAGATCGTCATGTTACTATTGAAAGAACCTGTGTCTGGATCGGGTCTATACGACCTGTCTCACCTGGGAACCTTCCGGGATCTCATTGCCATGGGTAGTAATATACCAGCACATAGAAACCGTACTGAAAATTGTGAATGAAAGACAGCATTTAAAAGGGAAATATAGTACTTCTTGGATGTTCTCTCTTGCCTTAAGTAAAAGGCTAAATCTAAGCAAGCAAAGGGCAAGGGAAAAATAAAATCCCAGATTGAGCAAATCAGGCACTGTTTTATGTTGTTTCAGAGAAAGCAGAATTCTAACAAGGAGAAACATAATTTGTAGAGCTGACAACAGTTACTTTAATAAAGCTAATTTCTGTTCATATTATGAAAATTTGCTTATTTTGTTATCTCACTATTAACTAGTGGAAGGAAGAGGGGAACTCTGGGAAGAGAAAATTCAGACAAGGAGTACAGTTTATTATTTTTGTTTAAGTAACATTTTGATTGTAATTTGACTGTTTATTCAGAACATAGTAACAATATGGACATTTGACCTTTGCCTACTAATGCCATGTGTGAAACGGAATTGCAGTCTTGCAGTCATATACAATTTTGCTTTTTTGTGTACTATAACTTTTTTGTGTGTGTGAGTTTTTCAAAGAGCAATTAAATACCTAAGTTCTGTGTCACTTAATCAACCAGCCAAAAGCTGAACTTTTTCTTTTGTTGTTTGAAGGTTTTTCGTAATAAGAGCCAAATTATCCCACAATTCAAAGACAATGCAGTCATCCACGAGACTGAATACAAGCGGAATTTCAAAGGCTTATCTCCAGTGAAGGAACCAAAGTTAAGAGAGGGTTTGAAGGGAAACAGTGATCTTGAGGCATTGTCTCCAGAGAAGAAGGTATCTGCTAACTCCTAACCTATTAAAGGGCTCACACTCCTCACAGTCTCCTGTTACCTACCCGCCTTCCCTTTCTTTCTTTAGCTAGCATTAACTCACTTGTTCATTAAATGCCAGATGTGCGTTGCCTACTTTCGTGGAGCCAGGTCCCATGTAGGTACTGAGAGGACAGCACATAGACACAGCAAGGCTCAGCAGTGCTTAGGCTTCTGGGACAAAGATACATAAGTAACTAAAATTAATACAGCTTGACCATACTTAGCAGTGCGCAGGTAAGTCTCCATGTCTGATGTCAAACGCTCGGGCCTGCAGTCACCTGAGCTGCTGGGCAGCAGGAATGATGGGAACATGCATTTTAAAGTAATAGCTGTTAAATGTAACACACATTTACTTTAAGACAAACTTTTTATTATGCTGAATTATAGTTAGTATAATTCATGTCATTTATTTCAGTGACTATGAGTACCTAGGTTTATGTGTGAACTTACAGGTATTCCAAGCTATGGCATCAGGATAAAATCATTGCAGATTATAGGAAAATGAATATAAAAGTTTTTTAGTCTCCTATACTGATAGGAACCTATACTGATAAAAACCACCTGATACTATGTGGTTTTTAAAAGTAGAAAGTGTATGACTAAACTATACCTGTATGTGTGTTTGTGGGTACAAATGCTTGCACACATGCACATACATGTACTTATGTACACACATGCACACACACACACACAGAGGTGCACACAGTACATGTACTTTCTTTTGACCTATGACATTCTTGGGGGTGGAAAGTGTTATTCTTTAAATCACCGTGGTAAGTTAATTAGCAAAACTTCAATTACTGTAATACTAGAATATAAATTTAAGGACTGATTCAAAATCTCTGTTCAATATGTAGTAGCATTGCTTAGTATTTAGATGGCAGTTGTTAATCTTTAAATTATAAACAAAACAAAACAAAAAACCCAACAAAACCCTAGTCAGGGATCTAAACTCATTGGTTTCAAAACTTGTTGATTCATGTTTTCTTTAGTAGCTAAAGCCTCTAAAAGCAAAGATGTAATAGGATCTCCAAGCCTACCTTCATAACATCTGTGTTTTTACTTTAATGTCTGACATCTCTAAGCATGAAAGCTTAAATTATTTCCATTTCACTATAACAAGGCAGACGAGCCTTTAAAATTAGAAGTAGACATGGCATCGGAAGACTCAGACCAGCCTAAAATGAAGCTTGCTCCGTGGCGACACCAAAGGCTTGGGTATGTATTTTATAAGGAGACGGTCATTTTTGGGTGGTCAACATGCTAAAATACTCACTTCCATTCTGTCTCTCTTAGCAAGGTGAATTCTGAATATAGAGCAAAATTTCTGAGCCCAGCCCAGTATTTATACAAAGCTGGAGCTTGGACACGCATGAAGGAGAATGTGCCAAACCCGGTGAGTGTGCAATTTCTCATTTTCCTCTTCCAGCGTACCCATCGGCTTCACAGTGAGCTTCAGCCACAGTTTAAAGATGAGGGCACAACAGTAGCGCTGCGAATCCCAGCATCTTAGAATTGTAGGGAGTGATTGACAGCTTACCATTTGTTCTCTCTCGTTATACCAATGGCTTCCTGAGAGATTGATATTATCAAAGTCATTTTTTTTTTTTAACCGTCAGATATCTGATAGCTTTAATCAGTTCATTTTACATGAATTGATTTGTTTCTCATGACATTCAGCCCTCCAGTCTCTCAGCTGAAGGTCATTGTCCAATCAGTAATGTATCCCATAGTAAGGCCACTGCCGGTTTGCTCCATGGCAGCATGTAGGAAAAGGTGGATGCAGCTGAGCTCGTTCAGTTTCAAGTTCTTCTCTGGGGTGTCCTGACATAGGGCAGGAACTGGGGATCTAAAGAGAGGCCGGAGGAAAGGGAAGTTATTCCCTAGGGCGGGGGGGGCAGTGGGGCTTCTAGTGGAATGTTTAGATTATTAAATAATTAGTACCGCAAAACTGTATCCTGACAGTTTTCAACCTTTCCCATATGCACAAGCTAAATGAAAACATGTTCTGGTTGGATTGTGTAATAGACATTCTTTCCCATCCATCTTTCCTATGAGGATACCCTGGGATGTGGTGGATGTGTGTGTGTGTGGGGGGGGGGGGCGGGCACTGTGTGTGTTTAGCTCAGTGCTGAAGACCATGGCTGGCAACTGTGTCATTAGCTTCTGGGGTCAGGTGTTGTCGGCCCCTTCGGGCTGCTGCTGCTTTGAGCTGGCCCCTCCCAGACAAGTGTGCTGCCACACCTGCTCAGCATTCTGTTTCAGACGGTGTCTGGGTTTTTCCTACTGCAGCTACTCTCAGAACTGTCTACCTGGGCCTCGCTCAGGCTGCCAGTCAGCCCAGTCAGGGCGCCAGCTCCCATTTCACCTGGGCCACTTGTCTGTTCGTTCTGGTTAATCAAATAAAAAGCATGAGCGCCAAAAGCCTGCAGACCCCGAGCTCTTGGAGGGCTTATTAGTGTCTTGACAAAGGGCATAGCGGGGGAGCGGGCAGGACAGGGGAGTGGGCAGGGCAGGAGACGGCGCGGCTGCTGAGGGCTGGTGCACAGGGCTTGAAGACATGAGAAGGTCTGCGCTAGAAGGGCTGTTGGCCAGTGTGTGGCTCCTTTAAACTAAGGGGAGTTGGTACTTAGGCCTCAACTCTGATGTGTCGTGGATTGAGAGGACTGTAGAGAGGGTGCAGTCCAGGAGAAGTTCCTTCTATTGCCCTGACGGAAGAGAACGCTGTGTTGTGATTTGAGATCTGTTTGCTTGGTTTTTACCTAATCGTTATCGTGATGCTGTATCCTTTTGGTGGTTGTATTAATTGCTACCGGAAGCTTTACGTACGTAAATTAGGAGTGAAGTTTGCTTCAACCTCTTTTATCAAAGAACTGGAACTTAAATTGGTGGCTGAAAAGAATGACAGGTCTCCACGAAATCAGTGAGCCGCTTTTACTACCCAACTTGGACATTTAATGTGGGCCATGTTTTGCCAAAACACTAGCCTTTGTTTCTGGACCTCTATTTGTGGCATGCGATTGATAACGGTGTGCCTGAATATCAAGTACTCCGTCCGGTCTGCTTTGGTGTGTGTGCTATGTATGCACTGTGCGTACAGGGTGGGCGCTGTGCACGTGGAGACCGGGGGTTGGTGTCACCCCTACCCTACTTTCTGAGACTGCATCTCCCACCGAACTCCGAGCTCTCTGATGGGCTAGACTGGCTGCCGAGGAGCTCCCAGGGTCCTCCCCCTCCCCCGCCCAGGGCTGGAATTATACTGGGATAAGTGGGCAAGCATGCTAACCGCTGAGCCATGGCTCCAGCTCCAAGTCCTGACATTAACTCACCTTTTGGCTCATGATCTTCTAGTTCAGGTGCAGCCTTCTTTCAGTGTTTGAAATGTTGCGCTTTTGGAGTCCATTTTTAGCAAAACTTGTGGAATGCTTATTCATCGAGTACGTGTGTAGTTGGTTCTGAATGCGGTTGTCTTCGGTGTCTGAGCAATGTTGTCATTGCACTACTGTGTTCTAATGTTCTTATTAATAGCGGAATCTGTTTTAAGGCCATTTGTTCTTGGTTTTTGGAAAAGGGTCTGACGTTGGATTCACAGCAATCCGCCTGCCTCAGTTGCTCTCATATAAGCATTCATTACAGGCCTGTGTCATGATGGCTGGCTGGCATGTTAATCTTTCTGGCTGGTTATTGATTTGACTTTTGAGGACACTTAGGCCTTTGATTCTGGATAAAGATCCACATTTGAGAGTTCTTATAATTCAACAGATGCTGTTAGAACCATCTATAAGATACTCCTCATTGGGGGGGAGGGTCACAATTTTTGAGAAAAAAATTATTTCCTTTCAGTTTTTCTGAGTGTAATTTGTTTTGCATGTAAACTTTAAATGATTTAGTTCAATTTGGGAAAAATAATTCAGTAATGAAAACATTCTACCTGCAGTGTTTAGATTGTGTGTGTGTGTGTGTGTGTGTGTGTGTGTGTGTGTGTGTGAGTGAGTGGGTGTGTGGAGGCTAGAAGAGGGTGTTGTATACCCTGAAACTGGAGTTATAAGTGGCTGTAACCCACTTGATGTGGGTTCTTGGAACTGAACTCTGATAACATACAAGAGCAGAGGATGCTTTTAACCTCTGAGCATCTCTGTACCCAATGCTTAAAATATTTATATCCTGTCACTGGGTGGCATTACTTTATTGATTGTTTAGTTGGGAATACTTTATTCCTGTCTTTTATAGTGGTCCCGGCCATTGGTCTTAGGGGTTATTTCTGGAGCCCATACTCAATTTTCCTCCCCTTGCCCATAGAACGTCTTATCTGAGAGATGCTGGCCTCTTCAGTTTTCATCTTAGTTTAGGATTATAGACATATAAATGTAAAACTGAAATGTTAGCACTGGTTTTATTAGGAAGGAGGACTGTGAAAGCTTTGGTTTTTCTATATCTTCAGCAAATAGAACTGAATGGTTATACTGAATTTCCATAAAGTGTCTACTCCATTCTTTCCAAATAATTGGTATCAAAAATGGGTCATTGTATGCCAAGGGCTCTCCCTCCAGCCTCTTGTGCATGAAGCAGCTCAGAGCTTTGGCGTCAATAGGATGTAGCCTCCTCGGCCGCTCTCTTTCTCACTGCTCAACTTCCAAGGCTGTGCTGGTCAGAGTCCCCATCCTTCAGTTTATACCTCAGGTGTTTATTGGGACGCAGACTGTGCCAGTGTTAGGGTGTTCACGTAGGTACAGGCCTGCTTTTGTGGTCATTGTGAGCCCCTTGAGCCTGAGAGTCCCTTGGCTCTGGTCTCTCTTTGCTCAGTCCACGCGCTGGACACTTGCAGAATTCCTGCTTCAACGCTGCCGTGGCCCTCCCTGCCTCGCTCACAGGTTCATGGAGAGAGACTCTGAGGACACACAGGAAGTGATCCCAGGGCTTGAAGCTGCTATGTAGGCATTGAAACATTTGATATAAGGGCACTTGTATCAGGCACCTCATAACAGGTTTCCTAGTCATTCAGAGTGCCCCTCCAGTCACTCAGCACATTTATGCTAGACGTCTTAGTTCTGGCACTGAAGCAAAAACTGCTGCTCCCGATCTCCCTTGAAGCGTAGGAGGTAGCGCAGGAGACAGCGCTGATAGGCGAGCATAGCTCATTTTTGTCAGTGAAGGGAAATAGGGTTTCATGTTATCCCCAGGACATTTTCTTATGTCTGCATGAGAGCGGTCTGCGGCGATTGTGTGGTCTCCCATGCTACGGTAGATAGGTGCTCTCCGTGATGGCTCTTCCCTAGACCTGCGATGCTCTAAGGAGTTGGGGTGGTTTTCCCAGTTGCGTCTACATCGCAGTGTTCACTGTGCGTTTCTCTGTCTTTAAGTGAAATCGGCAGTCCTAGTGCCCAGTACCCCAGTGGCACAAGTCTTCTCCTCTGGTATAAATGGGGAAGGGCTCGCTGCCAGCCCTGACAGCCTGAATGTGGTTCTGGCGTCCCACGTGGCAGAGAGCTGACGCCCTAAGGTCAGCTGTCCTCTGACCTACACACACACACTCACACATACTCACACACACACACTCACTCACACTCACACACTCACACACTCACTCACACACACTCACACTCACACACACTCACACTCACACACACTCACACATACTCACACACACACACTCACTCACACTCACACACTAACACACACTCACACTCACACATACTCACACACTCACTCTCACACACTCTCACACACTCATACTCTCACACACACACTCACACTCACACATACTCACACACTCTCACACACTCACACTCACACACTCACTCAACACACTCACACACTCACACACTCACTCACTCACACACTCACACACTCACTCACACACTCACACACTCACACTCACTCACACACACTCACACACTCACACATACTCACACACACTCTCACACACTCATACTCTCACACTCACACACTCACTCACACTCACACACTCTCACACTCACACTCACACACACTCACACACACTCACACACTAACACACACTCACACTCACACATACTCACACACACACTCTCACACACTCATACTCTCACACTCACACACTCACTCACACTCACACTCTCACACATTCACACACTCACACACTCTCACACACTCATACTCTCACTCACACTCACACTCACACACTAACACACACTCACTCACACACACTCTCACACACACTCTACTAGTACTACTACTACTACTACTACTAAAGAATGAGGCGGTGATAATTCATAGAGCAGTTTTTCTTCCCATGAAGGTTAAAAGATGATGCTGTTAACGGTCATGCCCAGAATAAATTGTTAAGGGATACAGGATTTTACAGAAATTTGGGAGTTATGTGTTTAAAAATACAGAATTATTAGTGGTAATGAAGGTTGTTAAATATAGTAAACAAGATTTTTAAAGCTGAATTTTAGCGAGTCAGCTTCTTGTGTTGTGGTTTCTACACTGCACGTTTGCATTTAGAGCAGCCAGCAGGTGGCAGCATGGTGTAGAGATGAAAGGGTCGCAAATGGGTAGTTGGGTTCCTTTTCGTAGGAAAGTGTGCTGTCTGCAGATTAGGGAATGCCAAGGGTTCTATAGTTCAACATAGTGTTTTAAAAATATCTTGTTATCTTGCTGAATATATAGCCATTGTATTTGGTAGAGATTTCTATTCAATTCTATATTTAGTTAGTTCTTTTTTTGAAGTTGCAGTTTTGCTGACTCCAAGGGAGCCTGAGGGATTTGGAGAGGGAATCTCACAACTTTCAGTGGATCTTCTATCATAGGAACAGCTGTGTACAAAGTTGGAGGAGTAAGCCAGAGACGGGGTGGGGGGTGGGGGGAGAGAGCTAGGAATAGTAATTAATTACCTGTCATTAACACTATCACAGCCAGAGATGGGGAGCTAGGAATAGCAATCAATTACCTGCTACAACACCATCATAGCCAAGCAAGAGTGTGGCTGATCTTTGAGACAGTATTAAGATGTCTTTGTTACTGAGTTAAATATTACTAAGAATACAAGAAATATTGATTGACAAGTTTATATATATTTAGAAGGAGGGATAATAAGGTACAGCATCTCATTGATTCCCATTAGTACTCATTTATGGCATTAAATCTGTCATTAAGTATGTCTCTGTATTCCTCCCCTAGGGTTCTCTAAATGCCATGTGGTATGCAGAGGTTGGTTGCTTTTGAGTTCTTAAAAACTATAATAATGCATAGAATACTTGAATACTTTATTTCATTTGCAATAAGAAGTATGTGTCAATATTTTTCTTAGCTGCCACAAATGCCCCCTTGCCTGCTGAAGTAAAGTAACTGCATTGTGCTCAGGCTTAATTACCCTCACTCCTGCCTAAATGCATAGTCTGAAGCGTGTACGTGGCTGCTGTTTGCCTTTGTCTCTCGTTGGACGTGGGCTGTATTAGTGCATGTCTTTGAAATGTCCTTGCGGGTGTTTGTAAAGGAGCACTGACAGCAGCGGATGCTGTCTGTCTGTCTGTCTTTCTGGTGTAGGTTAAGGAGCTCAGAGAGAAGGCTCAGTCTTACAGGAAGCGAGTTCAGGGAACGCACTTCTCTCGGGACCATCTGAACCAGATCCTGTCAGATAGCAACGGCTGCTGGGACGTCTCCTCAACCACGAGCTCGGAAGGGATCCTCAGCAGTAGCATCCGCGCACTGGATCTTGCCGGGTGAGGTATTCTTTGTGGGTGGCGAGAAGAGTGTGTTGTAGCTTATGTGCATTATAGAATGATGTCGTCGGGAAAGTGACCTGGTTGCCCACAGTCAGTCTTCTAGTCAGTAGGCCTCTTACTTACTATTGAAAACTTACTCTGTGACAAACACTGCTATTATATGTGCTCTTTGTGTTTCTGTATAAATAATCCATGATTAGGGAAGGTGAAATTTTGCAATATTCTTTGTAGCAACCACAAAACTAGAATGACTATAGATTAGATGTAAAAAGAATTTGAGAAGTTAAAAAAAAAAAGCAAACATAAAAACACATGAGAATATAAGCTCATGGTTATATCCATATCATTCATGAATACACAATTTAACTGCTTGTAAGAGAAATTGCATGTTGATGTGTAGCAAATAAAATAGTTTTACATTAGAGCATGCAATTGTAGTTCCATATACCCAGTTCATCTATAAATTCTATTATGTGACCCTGCTTTAAAAGCTCAGAAGATACTGTCTTTAATAATGTTTTAGAAAGATGAATCTAAAATACGAAAAATTGAATCTCCATACTTGTTCACATGTATAATTGAGTTTGTGTGAGGTTATGAATTAGTTAGGACAAATTAGCCAAGTTGGGATGTTAGTCTTTTTTGCCTTGGGGGTAAATAGTGGATGACTTTGTTATCAGAAGTACAAGCGTGTACGTGAGACAGGAGGTAAACATGTTAGCTTTTGGAGACACAGACGTAACTTTCACTGATTGTATTCCACACTAGCTTCAGTATCTTGAACAAGACCATCCATGTGGAAAACCGCTGAAGGAAAGTGATGAACTCACTAAACCAGTATAAACTAAAGCGCTCAGACGTACAATAAAACTGTCTTTGTTATACAGCCATCTTACAGGCCACAAGACTCCCCAGAAACATCCTCCTACCAAACTAGAAGAACAAAAAGTTGCCGTGGGAGAGAAGCTCCCAAAAAATACCACCAGGGAGCTGGCCCTGCCCGAGGCGGCCACCATGCCTGTCAGGAGGAAGCTGGCTTGGGATGCGGAGGACGCCAGTGAAGACACACAGGACCAGCCCATGGGAGACGGGGCCGAGGAAAGGGGAGAAGACAGGCAGATCTCAGTGGGCGAGCTCGAGAAACTGGGCACACAGGACAAGTCTAAGGCAGACAGAGTCAAAGAAGGGTGAGGCTCAAACGTCTCAGCATATGGAACATTCTAGTACATGACTAATGTGTATTTGCAACTGCAGCCTTATGACTAATAAAGAGGAGGTTTTTGCTTTGAGGCAGCGCAGTAGGCACTGTCCCGTGGCAGAGTGTCATGCTCTGCACTGACTCCTGCAGCCCCACCCCCAGCCCCACCGGTGCTGCTGGAGTCCTGAGGGGGCCTAGATTGCTCTCACTACCATCCTGGTTTGGGGAGGACTTTCCAGATTTGTAACGTGTCTGAAAGAACGGCTTCATGAGGCAAACCGGCCTTCACTGATATCCGACGTTCCTGTCAAGGAGAAGCTGCCCTTTTGTAGTATTTTGACAATGTTTTCTGGAAGAGCTCCTAGCAGTGGTTGTGTGGGTAGACAGCTTGGGGGGGGGGAGCTCTCCCTCTTGCTGCTGATGGTCCGTGTTGGCTGTAGTCAAACCCTTTATTCGTTTGTGGGTGTTGCAGCTACTGTGGAACTCCGGGCTGACTAAAGGGAAGACATCAGAGCTATGGATTGCTGATTTACAGTGATCGTTCCTCCCTTCTGGTCCTCAGTTCCTTTAACTACAAACAGATTAAAAGTTTTTAAAAGGGTGTTGGGGGCGCACACCTTTAATCGCAGCACTTGGCGGGAGGCAGAGGCAGGAGGATCTCTGTGAGTTCGAGGCCAGCCTGGTCTACAGAGCGAGTGCCAGGACAGGCTCCAAAACTGCAGAGAAGCCCTGTCTCAAAAAACCAAACAACAAAAAAAGAATTTTTAAAAGGATTGTTTTTAAGGCAGGGACATCCCCATTTAGGCTGGCTTGGAACTCATGACTCTCTTGTACTATCCCCCTAAACACCGGGCTTACAGGCAGGTGTCATCACAGGATCCCTGAATAGGAATCTGACTTTTTTTTTTTTCAAAAACAAGGTAGACTTCTTTTAGACAGTTTATGCTTTATTACTTTGCCACATAACGGTGATGATATAGCTTTGATCATATTTTTGGAAGAGAGGCTTCCTAATAGATCGTTTGACTTCTTAGGTCGGAGTTCTCTTCTGTTTCCTCAGCAAAGGGGGGAAGGCTTCCTACTCCAAAGCTCAGAGAACTTGGCATCCAGAGGACTCACCACGATCTCACGACTCCAGCTATTGGTAACAGTCAGACCCTGCCATCCATAGCCTGCCTGTTTAGAATGTAGCTTAGTGTGATTGACACGTGGTTTCTGTGGGATTTTCCAGGTGGAGCGGTCTTAGTGTCGCCATCTAAAGTGAAGCCTTCAGCTCCAGAGCAGAGGAAGAGAGCATCCTCCCAGGATGGTTTAGACTCTCTGAAGAAGGACCGTACTAAGGTAGACACCCTGTTTCAGAGGAGGAAAACCTCTCTTCGTGGGTTCGCATGGTCTCCTGTAATGAATGACACGTAGGCTGAGACCTCCAAAAACCCTGCCTGCTGTACGTAGAAATATTACCGCCAACTTTTGGCAATGCAAGGCAAAGGTCCTGGAATTTATTGACGTATTTATTTGGCCTTGATGTTGTGTTGCTGTCGATAGGCTTTCACACGTCATCGGGAAGGAAAGAAGAGAAACACAATCAGTTGTCTGGGAGTTGTGTGCCAACCATGTTCCAGGCACCGCTTAGCACTGGAGATAAGACTAGACAAAAGTCCCAGGGATCATTGAGTTTACCGTCCGGTGCAGAGCGGAACCACAGGCTGGGCGTGAAGGTATCACACAGATAGGCGTCAGTGCTAGGGAGGACTGAGGCAGGGGGATGAGTAGGAAGTGGTCCAGGAGGTCCTCACTGACAGGGTGGGGTTGGAGCAGAGCCCGGAGAAGGTGGAGGGCTGAGCATATCAGAGAAGATGAAGGACAGAGTGAGAAGTCTCCGAGGCGCCCGCTCCGTTGAATACCCGTGCTCTTGTGACCGGGGCGGAGAACAGCCTGGGTTCTGAGACCGAAGCTGTGCTGAGCTGTGTGGGCTCTGCAGGTCACAGGAAAGGCGCATGCGATACTTTCAGTGAGCTGCGAGGTGGGAAGTGGAGGGAGGGCAGGGGAGTGACTGTCCGATGTCGACTGTCCCAGAGTCACTGCGGCCATTGCGTCGAGAATGCACAGTGGGGCCTGAAGGCTTGTGAACGTAGTTAGTCACTAGACCCAGGAGACGCGATGGTGGTGACCGGGACTGTGGGATGTGGTGTGGGAGGGAGAGGAGAATCAAGGAGCAAGAGGAACGATGGATAGCAAAGGCTATGTCAGAAAATAGCAAGAGTTCTCTTTAGGACATGTTATATCTGAGAAGTTTACGAGCTGTAAATATAATATGCATGCATATGTGTTATGTATCACATATGCAATATATATGTGTATATATATACACACACATATACGTGTGTGTGTGTGTGTGTGTGTGTGTGTGTGTGTGTGTGTGCGTGTGTAGGTATAAAAACAGGTATTTGAAGACTTGGGTGACGGAGGGAGTAGGTATTGACAGAGAAGAGTAGGTGTGGACATGTCTGAGCCCCAGGATTTTGATGTTACAAAGTTGAGAAGTAACCAGCACAAAACAACCGTGAGATAGTGATAGTCACCAGTGTCCTGGAGGTAGAGAAATGGGCAGTCAAAGGGCTTGGGGCCGCATCTCGGAAGTGGAGTGTTCATCTAGCATGCATGGGATCCTGGTTCAATCCCCAGCACTGCCAGTGAATGAATGAATGTTTATTCTGGCCTGGAGGGATGGCTCAGTGATTCAGTGCTGGCTGCTCTTCCGGAGGGCCTGGATTTGGTTCCTAGCACCACGGCCCCAGGCACAAAGCTCACCCATCCCTCAGAGGTCACTTGTTTAATTTCCAGACTTCTTCCTACTGGCACAGGGCGTGGCAAGGGTCATGGTGTGGGAAGCCACTGAACTATTTGGTAGTCCCTCTGCCACTGAGGGGCACACTCCTCTTTGAAATAGTTTCCCCGAGTTTTGTGTATCTCTAGTGGAAGCAAGCGCTGACTGTGACTCCCTGAAAGGAACAATGTCTCAGTCCAGAAAGGAGACATTGGTGTCTGGAGCATTTGGGGGCATAGGTAGGAGTGGAGGACAGTCCGGGAAGCTGTGTCGTGCTGGGCTGGATAAGGGAGAGAGGACCGAGCGGCGTGGGGTTCCTGTCGCTCCAGCAGGACTGAGGGGTTATCGATGATGAGTTGTTTTGGAGAGGAATCACCATGTGCCAGGCACTGACCTGACATCTGGGGACACAACTTTGTGGCTCTGTGGAACTTCCCTTTTCACTGGGGGACAGCAGGTGACCTCCGAGGGGTGGGGGAGGCTTGGTGGCTGGGTACGTGGGGTGGGGTGGGAGGTACTTGCGGCAGATCCAGGGAGGGACGTGCTCTGGCAGAGACTGGCAGGGTGTTCCCAAGCAGAACAGAGTGTCACGTTGTTCTCTCCCGGGGCTGAGTTGTTGAGCTTCTTTTCTCTTTACTCACATTACTAACTACATACAAAATGACATACAGCATTAAAGAAGACACAGTTGCAAAGCTTATGTTGTGTCTTTGTGGGCTCTCAGAAAGAGTGCGCTTCATTAAGTCTGTAGAAGGTTCCTGTCTTTTCTATATCTGTGTTTAACTAATTTTTACAATTTGGCAAGTGAATAGTTAGTACTTAGGTGCTTTCATTTTGTGATTTGTAACTCTGGTGAGGTAGAATGTTGACTACTCACATCTGTGTGAGTGACGTGTATGTGACTGTGACATCTGAATGACGCAGGCCTCCTGCTTCTAAGGGGACAGTTGTGTGGCGTGGTGAAAAGTGTCCTGTCAGCAGGTCTGTCTCTCTGTGCTGATGCTCTGCGCAAAGCTTCCTCTCCGTGGACCCTCTGTTCCCCCCCCCCCCCCCCCGTTTCTCCCGTGACGTGTGACTGTCCGCATTCCTTTATTGTTGTCATCTAGAAAGGGAGCCACCATGCTGTGTCTCTCCTGACTTCTCCTGCTGCTGGCATCAAGACGGTCGATCCCCTGCCTCTGCGGGAAGATTGTGACGCCAATGTCCTCACATTTGCTGAGGCCACTCTTCCAGTTTCGAAAGTTCCGGAACATCAGACAAACAGCCCTGGGCAGCCTCCTGCTCCGTGTGTCCCACCTTACTGGCACCCTTCCAGCAGGATCCAAGGCTGCCTGCGAGACCCTGAATTTCAGCACAACGGTGAGAATCCGGCTTTAATTCTTGTCTTTAGAATAAGAGTGTTTACTGGAAGAAAAGTGCCAGAAGGAGGGCTGCACACTGACAAAACCCTAGTTTTTTTGGTGGTTTGCCTTCTTTTTAGTAATTTACAACGGGCCCCTCTTCCTTCCCTCCTCCTCCCTCCCTGCCTCTTTCCCCTCTTTCTCTTTCCCCTCCTAACTTTTTCTTTCCTTTTAGCTGGGCCTCACGAGTAGCCCAGGCTAACCGGCTGATCTGTGAAGGGCAGGTGACTTTTGTGGGTACTGGGCTGTGCTGCTCTGCCCAGCTTCACCTTCCCTGTTATGAGGTGAAAGGTGTCTCCCATGTCTTCACCAAGGCCCACATGGAGGCCAGCTAGATGCCACTAGCGCCTCTCCCTCAGGCAGGCAACAAAAGTGGTCTCTAGACATGGCCTAGTGTCTAGACATGGCCTGGAGTCCAGACATGGCCTGGTGTCTAGACATGGCCTGGAGTCTAGACATGGCCTAGAGTCTAGACATGGCCTGGTGTCTAGACATGGCCGGTGTCTAGACATGGCCTGGTATCTAGAGATGGCCTGGTGTCTAGACATGGCCTGGAGTCTAGACATGGCCTAGAGTCTAGACATGGCCTGGTCTCTAGACATGGCCTGGAGTCTAGATATGGCCTGGTCTCTAGACATGGCCTGGAGTCTAGACATGGCCTGGTGGCACTTGGATCTGGTTTCCCTTGTGTTTTGTTAGGCACGGTTCTGCTGTTTGCCTTCCTGGAGCTGTTGTGTGGTGCCTGCTTCTTCCTGGTGGCTTTGGGATACTTTACAATGATGGCATCTTGAAGTGGGTGGCTCCCCATTCATTTCATTAGTACCCGTAGCCTGGCCAGTTCTTCCAGAAGTTTTCTGAAATAGTGATTTCTTCCTTTTCTCTGCTGCTCTGCAGCTCCTGTTCTTTAGACAGAGAACAGATGGCCACTGTAGCTGATGATTAGGGCATGTGGCCAGTGTGGCTGATGATTAGGGCATGTGGCCACCGTGGTGCTGATCAACCTTTAGAGACAGGTCTTTAGTCCACTCTTGGGAGATGCAGTAATCCAGCTGTTAAATTGAAAGAAGTTTGATTTTGTGATTTAGCTGTTTCTCCTCTCTTAACCCCCTTCATCCCAGCCCCTACATCACCCAGGATGGACAAGCAGACATGGCCACTGCCTCTTAGTTTCTCTACTCTGCCCACTTAAGACTGCTGCCTTCTTGGGAAATTCCATACTTCGCTCTTCCTTTTCTTTCTATTCTCCTAACACGGTGGCTGTTTCCTTGTCTTCCATTTTTATTTTTTTCTGTGGGCTTCTGCTATCTCCCTAAATGTGTTTATTGAGTTTGTCATCTCAATAGAAACCTCCTCTGTTTCTTTGAAGTTACATGAATATCATGGAGAAGGATTTTAGGAGCGTATTCATAGTTTATGTACCTGCTAGAGTCACCCAGTGGCCCTCTGATGTAGTCTCTATCACTACACAAAGTTAATTGATAAGTATGGTTCTAGAACAGTGGGTCTCCACCTGTGAGTCAAGACCCTTTGGGGTCAAGTGACCTTTGCACAGGGCTCACACATCAGACATCTTGCAAATCAGATATTTACATCGCAGTTACTAACTGTAAAATTATAGTTATGAAGTAGCAGTGAAATGCTTTTAGGATTGGGCTCAGTGCAGTGTGAGGAACTGTATCAAAGGGCCACAGTGTTAAGAGCGTTGAGACTCGATGCTGCGGAGCCTGGAAAGTGCATGGTGGGAGGGGCTAGCACCTGGTGAAGGTCTCCTGGCTGCTTCATTTCCTGGCAGAAAGGCAAGAGACAGAGGAGCAGACCCTTCCCATGATGCCTTAGGCCACACCTTTTAGAGGTCTCGTCTCCTAATGCCATCTCAACAGCACAGTTTCGCCTTGGATTTTGGAGGGGACAGATGTTCAGATGATTCCACTAATATGTGATGTCTCTGCCCTTTTTTTCTTTAAGTGGTAAAACCGAAGATGAACAATTTGCAGTTACCTCCACATGAAGCCTTTAATGATGAAGGTATTTTAATACTTAAGATACACATCAGCTCTTTCGTACGGTGGTTTGTAGTGTGGTGATCTTACATTTGACTATCAGACTGCAGAGTACCTCTATAGCTTTTCTACGTTAGGTCTTTGAGACCTTATGATGGGGTGAAATTAGTTCCATTTTACACTCTTACATGGAAGTTGTGTGGGGCTGTGTGCTAAGGTGTCCTTGCCCAGCAATCCTGTGCCTCTCCTCAGCAGAAGTGTGGCTGCCTGCTTCCATCTGTCTGTCTCAGACATTTGGCCTGGTGTTAGTGCATATATTTTTTTTTCAAATACCTACATATTCTCCCCATTTTTCATCTCTAAAAATACATGTAATCAGTGAGAACGGACCCTTTTTCATCCTGTGTAGTCTTCAGGAGGAGTTTGGAAATCTTGAGGTGAACATTTAAACTGACTATTGTCCCATCCCAAGAGGCATGGCTGTAACATGTAAAATGCCAGTAAGTTCCTGAAGGCATTAACTTTTGAGTTGGAAAATAAATTTGAACTTAATGCTCTTTACACTGTAAGAATATTAGGAGGGTTTTCTCTTTTAGCAAGTTTGCATCTCTGTTCAGTGAACACAACTTGCTTTACTTTGAAAGACAAATCTGGCTACCTTGACTCTAGCTCTTACTTTTGTTGGTGCATAAGTGTTTATAAATATGCGATGGATATCCCCAGAATGAGGGATTTCAGTGCCTAGAAAGAGTAGCTTATTGGAAACAATTTTTTCTACATTAATATCACGTAAAGTATTCAACTTACTGTTCTTGATAATGTGTGTGAGCATGTGCAGATGTATACAGGTACTCTTGAGGCCAGAGGCATGACCGTCCCCTGGGGTTGGTGTAGCAGGAGGATGTGAGCTGCCCGATGGTGGATGTTAGGAATTGAACTCAGGACCTCTGGAAGAGCAGTGTGTGCTCTTAGCCTCTGAGTCATCTCCAGCATTTTGCTTCCTTAGTTGAAAACCTTTTTGCTCCAAATGGTTGGAAACTAGGATTAGACATCTAGTTTGGAAACTAGGATTAGACATCTCAAGATGAGTTGTCTCCCGATAATCCTGAAAGCATAAGCTGTGGTTAATTAATGATGTTAATGGATTCCAATGATGTAAAGGGGTTCTGGCCACACTGGCGTGTCTGACTTCTGCTAAACTCAGAAAATGGCCATGAACTATGATGACTTAAACTCTTGGTTTACCAGATCCCTTCCTGGTAGATCCAGCATTGCCATTGATTCGATGGCTTTGATTTTTCTGTTACTATACATTATTGTTCTGTGGAGATTTCCACGGGGAATGTAAATCCTGGGTTTTCTCATTACAGATGCAGACAGACTATCTGAGATCTCTGCCCGCTCTGCGGCTTCCAGTCTCCGGGCTTTTCAGACTCTAGCCCGAGCTCAGAGAAGAAAGGAGAATTTCTGGGGCAAAACATAAACCCGCTCGCCCCTCTTATGTAGAGATGCACTGGATCATCTTCCCTTTGCTGGCTGTGTTAAGGTTTGTCGAGGTGTTTGGTTTTCTCCTGACAGTTGCACCTTAAATTAGAGTTTTAGTAGCTCGTCTCACCCAGAAACTTTTAATGCAGGTGTGTCTAAATTGAACTCTGAGAATTCCTTTGTCCTTCTCTAAATACGAAGACACAGTCTATCTTTTGTATCAGGGGTCGGGAATGGCTGGTAGAATGTCGTCTGTCCACAGAATATTCTAAAGGATGCAATGAGGTCAGAATTAAGATCTCCCAGATTATATCCCCTCTCAGATCGGTTCTAGGCATTTCCATAGCCATAGCTGTCATAAAAGGAACCTCCTTCGACTTTTGCTTTAATGCCTTTATTAGCACCTTCTGTACCCAGTGGCAGCGTCAAGGGAATTGTACTTTGAAAAATCCAGCTGTGTATATATTTTTCTTATTTATGTAACACAATTTTCTGAGAGAATGTTTATTTTTGATCTTTTTCTGTATTCTATTTGTACAATAACTGGCATACATTTGAATAATGTCTAGATTTTGAGAAATTATTTGTGTAATGGAGAATTAAAACTTTGTAGACCTTGGAAAATGAAAATTAAGTGTGCTTGGCTTCTCCAAAGGGTTATCCTGTGGAACAAATGCCTTCTAGAAGCATTATACTAGAATTGGTTAATCAGAAATTGTGCTACGTCTGCAGCTATCACTGCAGAATCTGAATCTGCAGGGTTGTTTGGTTTGGTTTGGTTTTGTTTTTGCACAATTAATTACTAGGTTTTAAAAAGGAGATTCATTAAAAAAATTTCACATCAACCTCATGATTCTGTTTTTCACTTCTAGGATGCATTTAACAGTTGTTTACAAATCAGGGTAAATTTAAGTTTCTAATAAGAATGGGTTTTATAAATATGTTACACACATCTCTACAGTAGGGTATGTAAAATACTTGTTATGGTTTGGGGATTTTTTTTTTTTTTTTTTTCTTATCAAGAGAGGCTCTCTCTAGTTTCTAAGGCTGGCCTCAAACTTATGACCCTCTTGTGTAAGCTTCCTGAGTGTTGGAATTACAGGCATGGGCCATCTTGCGGTGACTTCTCCCAGGTGTCCTGGCTTGGAAGTTTGGAGCCCATTTGATAGCACTGTTGGAGATGGGGCCAGCTGAAGGAATTAGCTCACTAGGGGTGTTCCTTTGAAGAGTGTGTTTTGTCCCCAGGTGTCAGCCTTATGCTGACCTATGCAGATCTGTCTGGGATCTGAATGAAGAAGGAGGCTGATTCAGTCTAAGGCAGATAACTTCATTTCACTGTGCTCGTCTACATGGATGTAACAAAGAAAGCGATGATCCAAGGAAGGTTGAGTTCAGAAAAACACAATCAGAACACGTCAATAAATGCCAGTAAGCACATACCAAATATTAACAGAGCAGCCCTGTCCCAGGATAGAGCAATTTAAGCCCAGCTGCCTGGCATGTACTACAGGTTATGTCTGGGGAAGTACAAAAGCAAGGCAGAAGGCCCTATCCGGACCCAGGGTACCGAGGACAGTGCTCAGCATAACCCTGCACTAGACTGGGTTCTACAGCCCTGTGCCAACATCCAACAGGAATGAACATGTGTTAAAATTGAATGTAAATGTTTAACACAAGACATGAGATCACGTCCAAGAACAAACCTGGGAATAAAACGCACCTGAGGTAGAAAGGTCCTCTGCTCTTTTTCCTGGAGTCTCACGGTTCAACCCCAGGGCACCATGCTGTGACACCCAGGCCCTGACTTCATGCTCTGCGCTTCCTGGCTCCTCCGCGCCTGCGCCTGCGTGATGCTGTGAGTTGGTGCCGGACCAAAGCAGAGGAGCCAGCCTGCCTGGACTGTGAGTGAGCCCACGCGGTCTTTGCTTTTTGCTTTTTCTTGTTTCAGGTGATTTGCCCCAGTGACAGCTGACAGTAGGTAGTGTAGGTTAAATGTTCTAAATTATCAGTGCCCTTGGGTTAGAAAACAAGTTCTGAAGTGCTCTGTTTGATGAAAACTACCTTTGTAGATGGGTGGTTCACAACAAACTCAGCCATCTTACGTTGTTATAAAACTGCGAAGAGCATATGGACATTTGTCTGCATTCCACTGACTTTTAAAAGAGCTAACTGGTCATGTAAATGTCCCGAGGCACTAGAACAGAAGGAATAAGGGCCTAGGATCTGGCACAACCCGGCTCTCAATGCTCAGATCAGCATCTGTGCGGGTGATCTCTGATGCTCGTGGGCTCAGAGTTCAAACCTCAGCATCTCTGGAAGTTCACAGGCGTTTATTGTCTTCCTCTTGGGGTGATTTCCTTTTGTTGGTTAGGAAAGTTCTCAGTGGCTGAGAGTAGATCTGTAGTACAGCACAGACTAATATTCGAGTACAGCCATTACAGTGAAGCAGGCCTAGGAACTCAGTCGATTAGATTAGGGATGGTTCTCATGGGCCTAGATCATGATTCGAGAGCGTTGGATCTGCAGTGTACTACCGACTGCCTCTATCTTAAAACCTTGTCCTGCAGCCCCAGGGAGAAAATAGTTTTAGGGTCACTGTTTTCAGCACTAGAGTAGCTACTTGAAGGGCGTGAATTGGAAATAAGTGTGTGTTGTCCTGGTAACAAGACAGGCCATGAAGCTTCCTAGTACTTAGAAGGAGCTGTGGATGTATGTCCATCTCAAGTCGACTTTATTTAGGCACACTTTAATAAACCGGTATCATTACAGTCACGACTTGTAGAGTTCGGACAGGTGAACAAATCTGGAAACAGGGAAGGGTGTGTGTCTAGCCTGTGTGTCCTGGTTTCCCTCTGCTCTCAAGCCTGTTCCCAAACTGGTCCTCAACGGCAGCCGTGAGTCTAAGTGCACAAAATGTCAGTCTGGTTTTCAGTTGTATATTTTGAGATCGTTCATGTTTTGGGGCAAACGGATTCCTTGCAGTTTGAGGCTATATCAAACGTATTTGCTGTTTGCATTGTGAGTCCTCCTGCGAAGCTATGTGTAACCAGAGGTTTCCTGTCCCAGAGCAGCTGGGTCCTAAACACCTAGCAGCTGCTTCCTAAATTACCACACAGAGGCTTATATTACTCTATCAGTAGCCCAGCGTATTTTTAACTAGCTCTTACATTAAATTAGCACATACGCCTTATTCACACTCTGCTACATGGCAGAGCTCAGTATGGTGTGCCCACCTTGCTGCCCCTGTGTCTGGCTGGCATCTCCAGACTCCGCCCTTCCCTTCCCAGAGATCTTCTAGTCTGGCCGCCTAGTCTCAATCTCTCCCTGTTCGCCTATCACCAACCAGCTTTTATTTAACGTTGGGTATAATCCACAGCTGCTATGCTTTCTGCTGTCTTCAGAAAGAGTGAATCCTTATTTACCCTTCCAACCCTGAGACGGGGTCTCTCTCTATATTCTGGGCTGGCCTGGAACTCATAGACATGCGCCTGCCTCTGCCTCTGCCTTGGATTAAAGGCATGCGCCACAATGTCCGGTCTTTCTTATATGTTAGAGATACAGTATAGCCAGATGGGTGTTATAACCCGATGACTTGGCATTTTTGGTCACTGTTATACTCAGCAGTGAACATTTAAGTCACTGTATAGTTTTCCCCCCGAAGTGCACACTTCCTCCTCTCCCTAGCCCCCCATTCACCCAAGGAACTGACATTTTCATGCTCCTCTGGTTGAGAGCTCAGTACAAATGCACACACACACACACACACACAAATAATGATGAGGTTTGTATGCTAATTTTAGTCTCACCTCTAGATTCCTGTGGAGTATGAATTCCAAATTAACATTAAGAATGTGATAAATGTTTGGCATGTTGTTAGGAAAAGTTATGTAATGTAAACAGAATCGTGCTCCCTTTATAGATAAAATAAGTGTCTTTACTTCGTCCAAGAGCCCATTGGCTGGTGAGTTAGATCCAGATCTTCTTTCTTGAACTCTGCCCACACTCCCTTCTCCGAAGTGTGCTCAAATGTAATATCTACTATGAGTCAGCTATTTCTGGTTGATTCATTTGGGAGTTGATTTTTCTCTTTGCCTTCTTGGAAGGTAAAATACCTTCCTTTTTGCATCAGGAAAACCAAAGAATGTGGGCAGTGAATTATCATACAGATGGACTCAACCAGAATGGAAGTGAGTGGATATACAAAGGCCTCCTACAAGGCAAAGTCAAGGCTAACGGATCCGCGGTGCACCTTTGCTATGGCTGAGCATGCAAATAGTAGACACACCATAGTTTCAAAGAACATTGATCTTTCTGGATATTTCCCAAAGGAACAAATAGTCTAAAATGGTGGGTAATCATAGAGTTGTTCATGTTGGATCTGGGAATATGTTCAGGATGCTTTTACACACGCCGGGCCATAGTCTGAAGACATATTTAGGGCCTAGTATTTGTCAGGCAGATGTCATATAACTGTTCTGTGTCCCAGAAGTAATTACAGGAACCAGCACAGTCCTAGCCGTCGGACATCTAGGGCTGTGCCTCTGGTACCCTCATATCACGCCCTCCCATTCCTTACGGTTAAAAGCAGGCTGAGGCTCTTCAGCTTTACGCCCATGGCCTTTGGTGGTAGTGACCATGAGCAAGGCTAGAGTCATCTCTGTCCTGTGTTGAGTGTAAGCACAGAAAGCCCCACCTGCCACTCTCAGAGCCGAGCTTCCCTGCTCCGATTGCAAATTTCCTTCCACTGTGGTGCTCCCGGGCAAGGGGCAGCTCCTGGTCCTGGTCCTAATAGCTCCTTTCACCTAATAGCAGGTGAATCAGGAGAATCAGGCAGCCATTTTCTTACTGCGAAGGGCTCATCCGGCAATTCACTTCACGATAGCCCGGACTTGGCCAGAGCATTTCCTTGGAAACAGTGGGAAACGAGGACTTGGGGCGGGGCACTGACCTAACCTTTGAGAGCCAGGTCCTCACGCCCAACAGGTAGAGTGATAGTGGAGGAATCCACAACAATACAAGCCAAGCAATGAAATATTCAGGTTACGCTGTGAAATTCCTGATAGTAGGCTAGTGCTGGCCCACAGACCCACTGTTAAGTACTCCGCAAGTCTGTGAGCAGTTGCCACAGCACCGATAGTTTGAGACTGCCCCCAACAGCAAGCCCCAGGAATCGGCATTTCTATGTCCCTCCCAGAGAGGCAGTGTGTGAGCTCCCCGGCCCCGGGTTCTAGCCATCACTCACTACTGCTCCTGTAGCACTAGCCCGATGGGAAAACATCAATTCCAGAAAATAAGCAGCAGCTGCAAGGTTTATTACACCACACACCCCTTGCCATAGGCGAAGAGGTGCTATTTCAGTTTCCTTTCTTGGGTGAAGTGCATTTAAAAAAACACCACAGGTGACCCGTGGGTTTCCAGAGGGACGTCCATGACAGACCTGTGGACCAGCCCAGTTATGGGAATATTATTTTCGGGTGGGTGACTTTTGTTTATGCCGTATTTGTTTAACTCTGTGAAGCTGTGATTCTTTGCCTGTCTAAAACACCTGGTGGTCTAATAAAGAGCTGAACGGCCAATAGAGAGGCAGGAGCGAGGATGGGCGGGGCTGGCAGGCAGAGAGGATAAACAGAAGGAGAAACGAAGATCAAGAGAGG